TTTCTATTTTTTTATAAAATATATTAATAAAATATATATTAATTTGTAGTTAATATATATATATCTTAAATTAATATATATATTAAATTATATATATAAATTATGTGTACATATAAATTACTTTCTATATTTTTTTAAAAATTTTCGTGGTTTTTAACTTTTGTTAACTAAAAAATGTTGAAATATTAAAAATATATTTAAATAATTTCATATATATTATTATATAAATTATAATAAATTAAAAAATCAATTATTAAGTTTGATTAATAATTAAATTAGAGAAATGGTACAATATAATTAAATTAGAGAAATGGTAACTGTTTTGGCGGGAATTGACATGAATAAAAGTAAATGCTGAAATTTTAGGCGAAATAATATAATTAGATGCCTTCCAATAAAATTAAATGATGTTGCTCCAAATTATATATTTATAGATGTGAAAACTTGAAAACTAAAAAAATTGAATGTTGAACATTTTGGAGGGAAAATAAAATTTAATGCATGATAATATAATTTAATTCTTTGTTGCTCCTCTTTATATATAAATAGATATATCTTCTATCATTGAAAAAAAAAGTTTAAAATTTTATTGAATTAATTATTCTGTATTATCTATACCGTAATTCAAATTGTGTTGCGTTATTTCCTAACTAGTATTCGATCATGTGCATGTGTACAGAGAAAAACAAAAATTTATATATTATATATACGTATATAATATTTAAAAATTTAAATTAGATAAAGTGTGTATTACATTCTAAAATTTTGACTAAATATAAATGTAATATTAAAAATAACATCATACACAATATAAACAGGAATATTAACTGTAAAATAATTTAATATTGTATATTCAGAAATTTTAAAATCTTGTAAAGTTGTTACAGAATAAAAAAATAAAAATAATAAGATTTTACTTGTGTAACTGTCATTTGAATGTTGGTCATAAAGATTTTTATTAAATGAAGTCCTTTTTTTTATCGTTTATGAAGTCCTATTTTAATTAATTGTTGACTGAATAAAATTTATTGAAGCTTGTCAATAATTATATATATATAGACTATATTTATAATCATATTTTGTAATCGTATCGTGTTCAGGTTATGTGTTGTTGTAATTAAAAGTGTAAACGACCTGAGTTCGAGCTCGAGTCAAGTCGAGTTCAACTTGTTTACTAAATCAGTCAATACACGAGTTAAAGTTCGTCTTATTTATCAATATTAACAATTAAAGCTTGAGCTCAATTGGTGCCTCCATGAGTATTAAAATAAAATCGAGCTTGCATCACATTTCAGCTGAGCTATAAAAAATTACACGAAAATCGTTTTTGTTTTTTAGTTTCAACTTTCAACTAACCATAGTGTCAAGCTCAGCTTGAACTAAACGAAATTAAACTCAACTCATTTATCGAACAAGACGAATTTCAAGCGGTTCGTTTCGTGTAATGCCGCAATAATTAAATTCAGTAGAATATTTTTTGCATAATCAAAATTTAAACGAAAAAAAAAAATTGCGCCGAGAAATAAGTACTTATATTGACGGGTAATAAATTATACTACCTCCTATTTATTTTAAATGTCATTTTGACTTTATCAACATTAACTAAATAAATGACGTTTTGGATCTTTTGTACATACTATATTTTTCTATTATTATCCTCATCTAGCTAATAAAATACACCACGTATTTTCATATTCACTTTTAATTTTTTCTCAAAATATCCATTTCTATCCTTATTAACTAGTGTGTAGCCCGTGCTATGCACAGGTAAATAATACTAATAATTCCAACCTTCAGCGAGTAGGTTCCCCGCCTTCGGTTTTGGGAGTTTGGTTAGAGCATGATATAATTGGAGTATCGTATCCCCGTCGAGTCCTAATATAGGCTTATGGCCTCTTTCATTGTACCAAAAAAAAATAATAATAATACTAATATTAATTATAAACTAAATATTAGGATAAACAATATTAACTATAATTATAAATTAAAGATGTGGGGTTACATGTGATAAAATTTACTTTATATAGTCTATTGTAACAATATAAAATTATCTTATATAAAGAACATAAAAAAATTTATGTCTAAAATATTAAAATTGAGAGAAGATTTTACATATTATATATAAAATAAATATTGAGATGATACCGAAAATTATTTCGTCATCAATTTGAGTATAAATAAACAGAGGCTTAATAACTCCATGTTTTATGCATATGCTTCATCTATCAATTTTATATAATAATTTTAAATTTTCATTATCAAAATTTGTATTCAAATGTATAAAATAAACTGAGACTTAACAATTCTACGCTGCATATACTTCATTTATCAATTTTATGTAATGATTTTAAAATCTCGTTGTTATTAAGATTTTTATTCAAACACGTATCAACAAAGTAAACATCTTTGAGATTTATGATGAAGTACGAATAAATAATTTCTTTATAAAAGAAATCCATATTTATTTGTTTTTGAAAATCAATGCAAACTCACAGAGAGTTTTTGTTCTTAACAAACTCCTACAATTTTAATTAAATCATATTAATCCAATTTGAATTTCATGATGGTTTTAAAATCTGTACACGTGGTCATAATCTATATCAAGTAAACAATCCCCATAATTTTAGAAATCAGTATTTATGTGTTTTTGAAAATCAATGCAAATTGGTTGATAGTTTTTTTTCTAAGAAACTTCTACATTTCTAATTAAATTATATCATTCAATTCTATTTGAGTACGAATTTACAGTTTCAGTTTGAAAATAAATTTAAAAATCTGTACACTTGTTGATAGTCTTTTAAGTAAACATAGTCCCATTTTTTTTTTTTCCGTTATTAAGTTTTTTATTCCAACAAATGATGTGGTGAAGATTTATTAAGTGAGTACCTATGATGTATGGATTAATATCCAATGTTGTAGCATACACTTTTTTTAATTGCATAAATATAATTGTGTTTTTTTTCTTTGCATGGACGGTATAATTAGTGCAAGTTAATTAAATGAAGTTAATTTTTTAATATAATTCATTTAAGTTTTTTTTTTTTACTAAAATGAATGATGCAAACTCGTACCATTTTAAATTCTCCACAATTTGAATTACTCTTTAACTTTTGAATACTGCTAAATTTCATATCTATCATTATTTATGCGGACAATTTTGTAGGAAAGTTATTAGGAAATTGTTAACATTTGAATTTGAATTAAAGATTTGAATGAAAATTATTAGGAAATTGTTAACAATTGAATTTGAATTAAAGATTTTTTTATTTTTTTTTTCTGTTTTCCCTATAAGTTTGTTATAGCAACCATATTTTATTTAAACTTCTATCCCTTCCTTATTTAGAAATTTTGAAATTTGTTTTGCTTGCTATATTTAGTAAATAGTAATTCTTTTTATATAAGTATAGATAGGAATTATTATTAGCAAAAAATAATTTTTAATTAATATGTAATTTATTAAAACGATATTTATTAAAGATAGGAGTGAGAGTAATAATTTTCGCGTGAGGCTCAATTTATATTTGTTTGGCCCCATTGAGAGACAGCTCATAATTTCGTATAATCCCATCCTTAAAATCCCTTCATCTTAAAGCATCCAAAGCAAAAAAATCAAAAGAAATTCCCTTTTTTAGTTTAAATTTTGAACTCTGTGTGCTTTTAAAAATCTTTATTATCCGACACATCCCAAGGAAAAGGCAAAACCACCGTTTTGTGTTTCACGCTTTTGGGTTTTGATAATCAAAGTCTTATATCGATCCCATTATTTGGAATAATATTTTTTTATAGATATACACATTTTTATTAGAAATGTCATGTTTTATTTATAGTGAACATAAATAAGAATATGATATTAGATAGTATATATTTCGAATTTTGTTTGTAGTATGACGAGTAAGTTGTCTAATTATTAGGTTGTCTCAAATAATAATTTTTATTTGGCAATTAATTGGGCACATAGTTTAATTATAAGATCATGATACAGTAACGTCACGTCACATTTAAAATGAACAATTTGAACATTTACATATTATTTATGACATAAAGTATATAAAAATATTATGTTAAGAAATTTTATTCCTTTGATTACAATTTTTTATTGTTGGAATGTGATTAGATTTGATGGGAAATACTCCCCGATTAACATCACCAATGGGTACATACCACATAAGCGGTGAGCATTTTCGTTGATTTGGGTCACCTTTTGAAAGTTTATAAGTTTAAATGGCAAGTAGATACATCAGATATTTATGCAAACTAAAATCTCATCACATAATTAGCCAACAAGAGTATTTGCTCATTTTTTTTTTCATAAAACTAATATACATTGTGATGGGATCTAAATTTTATAAATATAATTAGTCACCCCCAAAAATAGATGGAAAAAAAAAAGCTTAAACGGTAANTTGTTAATTACTAAAACATATTATTTGGTAAATATTGTTTTTTCTTGAAAAACAAAAAAAAAATATTATTATTTAAATATATTTTTTTGTGGTATTATTTAAATAATATTAGTGAGACAAAAGATTCAATAAAAAAAAGGTCCAAGTTATCTATTAATGAAATAAATCTTTATTAACCAGATAAAATTGAGATATTTTCATATTCGATACGAGGAATTTCAAATTTATAAATCCAATAGTTAATCAACTTTTGTACACAATTTTTCACACTTTTGTAATACTCCCTCTTGTTTTTAATAAGTGTCGTTTTGAGAAGCTGCACAGTAATTAAGAATCTTTTTTTTTCTCAATAATAACTCTCATGAGTGAGGATAGAGATGGATGTTTTGAGAAAAAATGAAGAGTGAATATAAAAAAACATAGTGTATTTATAGCTAGATGAGAGTAATAATGAAAAAATATGTACAAACAATCCAAAACGTCATTTATTTAGTCAATTATTAATAAAACCAAAATGACATTTAAAAAAAAAATAAAAAGTAGTATTATTTTACAAAATACACACTTCACAATCTTAAACTCTACAGTAACACAAGCCACTTTAATAATGTTATTAAGGAATTATAAAAAAAAACATAATTCAAATTATAAATATCCGTTTCATACAAACATACAATTGATTTACATGTATGTATGCCCATCCAATCCAATTAACTAATCCACAACTTTTAACCACATCACAACATAACATGTGATCCAATGTATTATTAAAAAAATTGTTATTCAATGTTAAGAACTAATATTCCAAATCCTAAAAACAAGCCACCAAATTTACATGTCTTACACTAAAAATATCACTTGGGATGTTAGTCAAAAGCTAAAAAGAGGGCCAAAGCATGTTACAACTTACAACAACAAAGCAAACAAAACACACATGCTTTTGCTTATCCCAATGCTTTGACCATAGCATTAAGTATAAAAATCACTGTTAATTATAACTAACAGACGAATTAATACAAACAAAATGCATTTTGCATAGATATTTCCAACTGGATTACAATCCACAATGTTCAACCCCATTCATACTAACAAACCAAAAATAAGAAAAATAAAAATAGAAGTCACAGCTGTTGGAATTTCAACCAAAACGAGACCCCAACTCACTGAGTCAACCCTACAAAATCACTACAAAGTAAGAAATACTATCAACACTAAACAAAAAAAAAAAAATAATACCCAAGTCTTTATTCCTGTATTTTTCCATAATTCCATTTCCAAATTGGAAAACAAAATAGAAAATTATTTTGCTAATTCCTTATATTTTATTTTATTACCCTAAAACCCAAACAAAATATTATTTTGTTTTTTCATCATCATCTAACTTTTAACTACCACCTGCAAACCTATGACAATAACACTAGAGCAAAACTAAAACAAAGTTCTTCTTGCACTTTTTCTCTTAGTTTTTTTCCCAAATCCCACCAAATAATTCAGATAAAAAATCACTTGATGTGGGTTTCTTTCAGTAAGTCCACTCTTGAGGAAGACTGAATTCTTGATTTCCAGCTGTTTGTGGCCTTATAATTCTCCCCTGATAAGCTGACATTAAATTATCTCTCTGCTTCAAATAGGCATCTGCCAAGTTTAGATACACACAAAAAATTCAAAACACTCATTCTTGTGTGAAGAATCATCAACATTAAAATAGGTGAACCCAATAATACTTTTTTAACAAAATGAGTACAAATAAGCATCTGCAGATTTACACATAAAATTTTAAAACAAGTTTTTCTTGTGTGAGATCGACATTGAAGTCTGAAAGTAAGCACATCCGTCAAACAACGAGTGACTAGCCGTTTAACATGCCTTATAATAGCATTGCCTTACAATAGCATTGTTCAATTTAAGACCAGTTCTTAAATGGGCAACAATTAAAAATGAAACAGAGAATGATTGCAAAAAGTTTACCATAATCATTGGTGAAATTTCCTAAAGCTCTGGTCTGAACATGGGTATCAATGGAGTCCATGGTCTGATTCAAGTAAAACGCTGCAAAGAATTTCATGGGAAGATTATCACAAGATCATTACACAAAGGTACCATTAATGAACTCACATGAACATGACGCGGAGAAATATAATGGGCATTAAAAATGGTAAAAGAACGAAAAGCTACCTGGATTCTTCGGGGTTTCAACCGGGTTCGGGTCGAACATTCTTGGCATGAACACACCGGTTCCAACCCGCTCCTTTTTCGGCCCAGTTTCTCCAAGAAAACCCGTTTTTACTCCGATGCCGGTTTGATGCCGGGACTGTTGTAAAGTGGGCCAAGCCGACGAGGACAGGCTGTAGGACAGATCGCCGCTGCCGTTTCTCCGAACACCATTTTTCATCATCATCGATTTCAACTGGTTCTGTTTCATCTGCTGAAGCTGTTAATTACAAAAAACAAATCAGTTCACAAAATAATAAAAAAAAATGGAAACAGAGCAAACGCTGTTAGAGAAGCTCACTGACCTTAGCAGCTTGCAGATGTTGGTGGTAAGAGAGGTGTGTTTGACGTCGGGTAGGATAGAAGCCCGTACCCGGTTCGTTCTTGGGCTGGGTAACGGCGACCGGACCGGGCTTGCGGGCCGAAGAAAAAAGTTCGTTCGAGTAAAACGCCGCCGCTTCTTCTGCCATGCGCATCCTCGCGACCTCCGCCGCCGCCGCGTATAGCACGTCCCAGCTCAGGGGACTTTTGGCCTCCGGCGGCGAGCAAGCCCGAGAATCGGAGTTTGGGCTGCCCCGGGAACCCGGTTTGAACCCGTACAGAGTCGACTGTGGTGACCCGGATAGCTTCAAGCCCTGCAGATAAAAAGCAGAAATTAATTATATTTGTTCTGTACAGTTCAAAATGTGGAAACCATAGATTAACGATAGCAGAGGAACTATACCTTGGCTGTGCAGTCGCAGGACATGTCCGATTCACGCAACCCGGAGCGAGTCAGCTTCCGGGTCAACTCAGCGACTACATCGTCTTCGTCGGCCCCGGCTGTTTCCATAGAACCGGTGACCGACTCGACCGGAGAACTCAGATCCGAGTTCAACCCGCCGGAATTCGTGAACCCACAGCCGAAATCGGTCAGCAGGTCGTCGTCGGTGAGCAGCTCCGCCGGAAGCAGGAACTCCAAATCGTCAATTTCTTGGGCCATGGCTGACCAACTACAAAAACCCAAATGCAAAAAGGGGGGAAATAAAGAAAAAATGTTCCGTATGTGAAGATCTCGTAGGCACGGAATAGATGTCTGCGGCGGTTGTTTGCTGTCTCCTCAAGCTTTAATTATAGTGCCTCGCTTGTTTGAAATGGGGGCGAAAAGTCGCAAGGACCCAGCAGATATTTCAGGGAGAGAGATGGAGAGAATGGCGGTTTGTGGAGAGAGAAATGGGAGGAGCAATAGGTGGTGGGCTTTTTATAATGTGAAAAAATGTTGGAGGCGCCACTATTTTTCTACAGAGTGGTGAGTGGGAAAAACTGAAAAATGGTTGAAAACCCTAAAGAGGGAGGAGGCGAGTGGGTTCACGCGCGGAGCAGAAAATTTTGAATTTTTGGGAAGAAAAAGAAAAGGGAAAAATATATCAAATTGGGGGAATTCGTTGGAAATAGTTGCAGACAGGTAAGGAGGTGGTGGAAGATAGTTGGTGGGGCCTATGGACCGACACGTGTGAGCCAAGTGGGCCAGGCGAATTACGGGTTAAAAAATTGTTTTTTCTTTTTCATTTTTTCTTTTGAAATACAAATCGTTTGTTAGCTAATCGCATATATTATTATATAGTTCATTATATTATAGAATATTTAATAAAGGTTTAAAGTAAATTTTAATTGGAGATTGAGTGTGGATGGCAGTTATATTTTTCTCGTGTGTTATTTTACGAATTCACTCTGCTAAAATGGCCAGGAATGAGATTAATGTATTAATGTATTTTACATCGGCGCTTCTTTTACATTTCATTACGTCTGATGAATCACTCTATTTAATGTCGTTTTTACGTGTCATTTAATCAATGAAAGGAAACAGAAAATTAAAACATAAGAATTGAAAGTGAGATATTATTATCTCTCTTTTCAGCATCTTCCTAAAAAAAAATCAAATAAGTTATTTATCAAATTATGCTAACTAGTACAGTGCGATGCACGGGGTGCATAATTTTAAGGCTATTTATCCAAGCTTATAATTATATACATGAATAAAAAAAAATGTACGGGATATATATAGTACGTGACCCGTGCGAAGCACAGATATATTTATTTGGAGAATATTATATTATAAGATGCAATATTCAATAAAAGTTTATAATACGCAAGAAAATTGTACAATGTTCAATAAAAGTTTTATAAGATTCAAGTGGAGTCTTAAAGTCTCTTGTACATTAAGACTACTGACAAAATAATATTTTAATCAATGAGTTTCCTTTTCTTGTAGCCAAATTGTGAATGTGATTTGAGGAGTACAACAAATCGATATATAGCTGACTTGCTTTTTTCATTGTAGTTTTTTTTTTCTTTTTTTATAATGAATTTAAAGATATTCTAAAATATAGCAAAAATTAATTTGTTTATTACAATTAGGAATTTTACTAAATATAAACTCTCAATCTATGGTGTTAATCAACGTTTAAGTCTAAAAAATTAGGAATTTTTACCTCTTTTAATCAACGTTTAAGTCTAAAAAACAATAGAGTTATTATAAGTTTTTTTTCTACATCTTTTAAAACATTAAATATGAGCATGTTAGGGCTAGCTTGTAAAATAATTAATATATTATCTCACTAAAACATTTATACTAATAAAAATTTAATTTTAGCATATAAATTTATCCCTTGATATAAGAGAAAGTAACAGTTTTACTTATTGTTGTTCACCATATAATATTTAATTATTATTTTATTATATAATAAAAAATGAATATTGTTAAATAGTGTAGTAGAATTGTTATAAAATTATATGATTTTTTTTTTTACAATATGGATTTAATAATTTTTTATGATTTGATAATATAAACAAATCTATACTTAATTTTGACAAATAAAACAAATAAATACTTTAGTAAGTATTTAATGTATATACTAAATAAGAATATATTTGGTATAATCAAATACCAAATATAATCAAATAAGTCAAAGTGTACATTTTTATTTGGTATTTAATTTTTTTATTATTAAAATATTTTTATTATACTTATCTTTTTAAAATAAAACAAATAAATAAATCAATTAAATAAATAAAATATTATAATATCAAAATAGTAATTGCATTAATGTTGTTGACTTTTCTGGATAGTAAATGTAGTAAATAGAATCTGTTTTTATATAAGTATAGATTGTATAATACGGAAATAGTAATACAATAAATATTGTTGACTTTTCTTTATATTAAATCTGGTAAATGGTATACCTTTTAATATAAGTATAGATTGAATAACGCATGATGCAAAATGATTCCAATATTTAAATTTAGCTAATTCCTTCCATTAAGGAAAATGGTCTGGTCTTAATTGGTTTGTGATTTGTACTTTTTTATATATATATAATTCAGTTTTAAGAATTGTTGAGATTTAGATTGGGAGGAAAAGAAAAAAAAGGTTATTAAGGCGTGGTGACAACGTGGTGGCGCCTTTTTCTGAATTGTGTGTTGTGAGTCGTGGGGACGAAAAAGATTAGAACAATTTTCCTTTATACGTGGGATTTATGCTTTGCACATAAGCAAATCAGAATATTCATTATATGTGTGATTTATGTGTTTTGATAAATTTACACATTTTTTTTTACACTTAAATATCACGCTATAAAACACTATTTAAATAAAAAGTGGTATTACGTAATATAATTATTCATATTTACTTAGAAGCTAGCGCCGACATTTGTGTATGACTATATTTCATTGAAATAACATCATAACTGCAAAATTGAAAATCGAGCATTAACAATCATTCACAACCATGAGCGTGGAGTTATCATTTCCACTCCTCAGATGGTGAGTGCTTTTAATTTAGTCAAATATAAAAATACATATTCGAATTCAAATATTTGAAAAACGTTTTAATTTTTAATTAGTTTAACAGCTGAATTTAAAATGGATGTCTTAACTTACTTGACTGGAAAAGACCTTTTGGTTGGGCACAAGATGATAAAAAACTTCATGGGTTTGTTATTTTGTATCTTCATATTATTAAGGAGTCGTCTATTACAAATATGTATACATAATTATGATATTTATAGCATAATTATATATTATTTTATTAAAATTTATGAATTAACTCATTTAAATGTTAGACCAGTAAATATTATCACACAATATTTACTTATGCTTTATCGTTGGTTCTTAATTAGACTTGTTAAACAAAATAATATTCTCGTTTAACTCAGCTTAACTTCTCTTTTGAAAGACAAGTCTAAGTTTGATTTATTATGATTCGAAAATATAAAATTTTACATGATATTCTATAGCTTGGTTATTTAATATTAACTTGTTGAACTCAATTTCATTTGTTGGCTCTTTTGGTTAAAAAGTCGAGCTAGCTCGATTGGGAAAATACTCGATCCCGAACTCAAGTATCATAAACTTGAGCTCGATTGAACACGTCTGGCCTAAATATCTATTTTCCAACAATAGCATTACTATTGTTCAAGTCTAACAGTTAGACATACATATGGTTTTAACACTATATGCATAATGTCATGCTTCAAAAAAACAGTATCAACAAAAGTACAATATTTTATAATGAAAAATACTTATTTTTTGTTGTAAAAAATATGACGAGTCGATCTGCATTTAGCTGCCATAAATAACAATTCACCATCTTCAAAATCACTTAAATCCTTATGTTTAGCGTATTGATGTGACATTTTTACAAAAAAAGTAGATGTATAATTTCAAAAATTAAGTATAATTAATGGAATTAAAAAAAGGTTATATGACCCATTCGTGATACTGATTAACCACACAATTAGCAGACAATCTGTGTATAACTTCATAATCAAAAGATCTAACATTTGAATTATGTTGGACATATTCTGGTCAAGTGGAATCCAGGCATGTTTGGCTCCTTTTTCATTTCCTTTATTCTTTCCATTTTTTCTGTCCCTTTCCCTGTTTTCTTCGTGATCCACTGACCTTGTCTGCTTATCTGCTTGTCTCAAGCCCGAACAAATGATTTTTTATTTTTATTTTTATTTTTTAATACCTGCCCAACATTTTAAAAGATTGTGTAAATAAGTGGGAACATAATATTAAGTTATGAATTTTACTTATTATAGTTTTGTCAATTTATATATAAGGTAAAATGTTGTCAATTTTAGAAATTAAAAGTATGGAAAAGAGAAGGAAGTGCATGAAATTCACATGTAAAAGAGATTCCCTATGTATTTGAGTGGTCTAGGTTGTGCTAGGCTCGTTTAACAAACGAACAAATAGCTCTGTTCGAACTCAGTTCGTATATGTATGTTAAATCTCGGTTCGACTCAAGTCAACTCACTTAATAAATTCACGACCTTAAACGAAATGTTTTCGAGATTAAAATATTCGTTCACGAATAAGTTAAGATTGGATGTTCCATTTTAAATATATAAAAATTAGTTCGCGAATCATTTGAATTCAGCTCAATTCATTTAATAAACAAGCTCAATCAAATCTTTAGGCACGTCTTGTTTAAGTATTCGAATGAGTCATTTTTAGATTTTTCATGAACGAAGAGAACTCAGTGACTCACTTTGAATAAAAGCTCGATCTCGTGTTACAAATGCTTTGAAATGTATATAAATGTGTGATTTTTGAAATTAGACTAATATATCACCAGTTTTAGATGGAAAAAATGAATAAAATCTGATAAATGTGTGATTGTGAATGGTAGTGGGTGGCTGTATGAATGCGTGTGGGAAAAGATGTTCGCTTTGCTTCTACAAGTGAACAAGCAATTATTATTATTAATTTTGCAACACAAAAAAAAATAAAAAATAATAGTAATAAATATATATTAAACGATTATTTTTTAGCTGACGTGGTACTAGTGGGCCACAGCGGATCCGGGCAGATCAACCGTCAGCCCTATCGTCGGTCAAACAGGCTTAGCCGTTTATTTTAACGGCCGTTCTTTTTTTTTCTACTTCCGGTTACGGCTGGTCGTTTTCATCTGCCGGCGTCAGACGGCGCTGTCTTCCCGCCTTTTTCTCGCGAACGCCAGCTGCTCCTATTAAATGAATTCAATTCTCTTGGTGTGGATGCAATGTAAATCCGACTACTCATTAGTCGCTTTATCATATTTGATTTTATATGATAAAAATGTATTTTATTTACATTTTTTAAAAAAATATGATATTTCAATTTAGAATTATACATATATATTAAATAAATATAGAAAAATCAATTAAAAAAATTACAGAAGTGATGCACTAAAAAATCTCTCTACATTCTTTTTTATTATTAAAAACTGCATCACCAAATTCATTTTTGTAGTTAGGGTGGGTATGAGGTGGTTCATATTCATAAAAGTACAATTATATTCATTCATAAATTCTCAATGTAAAAAACAAATTTTATAAAGTGTGACGTGTCGGTTCGTGAGTTCACGATTCATCAATTGTTATGATTTAATAGTTTGATCGATGCTATTTTTTTTTTTCAACTACGTCACCTTAGTCTCTAAACAAACTTATTATAATTCTAATAATGTTGCAAATACCATAGATATTTTGGTTAGGCCAACAGTTTAAAGTATTTTCGCCATTATTTGTCACTTGACCACACTATAATTCAATTGAGTTATAATTAAGTTAGGTTTGATTTGGATTTGAATTTTTGATTGGGCGATCAGCTTGGACTCTACAAATATCTTATAAAGCTATCTAATTGGTCACATAATGACATATCAATGTAACTTTGTAATGATTTTGTCATTTGAAAATAAAGAAAGCAAAAAATCTAAGTCCAAACCACAGCAGCCAAAAGCAAATAATTTTATTCCTTGAGCGTGAAAAGTAAAATATTTACACTCGTGATCAAAGTAACCGTGAATTGTTGAATTTTTTCCAATTAGTTATCCAATAAGCTTAAATTTAGAATCATTTCTGCATCAATTGGGGCCTAATGCCAATTTTTGTTTGTCCCTCAAAATCTGGTTTGCAGTTGAAGGAAAATGTTAATTGGATCACTATATAGTGATGTGACCTCATGATATTATGAAAACAATTAATACTAATGATTTTCACAAAGAAAAAAAAAAAGTCTTTTTAATTTGAATGTACTATTTCTATCTATTTGTAGTTCAAATTATTAAGTCTTACCTTGAATTATATAAATAAATTTGTTAAAAAGACAATGACGACGACAATAATAATAATAATAATGATAATAATATTTGGCAAGGATCAAGAGATCTCGTTATTGCATTGCTCATGTCAATAATAATCGGAGCACGATTAGACGATCATTAAGAAATTACAAACTTTCAAATAGAAACTCGCCAATTCATGATATCCCATTAAGTTATATATAAAGATTGGACATATATTAAAATTAATCATAACGACTCTTATTTGTGAATTAATGCAGCATTGGTCTTTTCGATTTCTATTATATTATTATTTTTTTCTTTTTATATTTTAAACTTGTTCAATTTATGCAAAATCATTGTTTCAAAATATATTTTCACATATAATCAAATTTAATATGATTATTCTCATGTCATGTTGATCTAAAACATGAAAAATATCATTGCATCACAAAAAAATCAAACCCCAATTCATATGATATTCATCACACGCCATGATAACCAGAGTCAATGGTTGGACAAGTCGTAGATTTGCCTTTGTTAAAGAGAAAATAAAATGTCCCAAAAAAGTATTTTATAATTGGATCAATTTTAAATTAGAAGAAACATGGAGCCCAAATAAAATGCTTCGTGCAATCATGAGAAATGTTCCTTTTTTTTTATTTTATTATTTTTTTTTTCGGTCCCGTGATGTGATCTCCCTAACGAGAAATTATCATCTTTGGAGGGACCATTATCACATGACTAACATAAAACCAAAGCAATCCTAGATAATACGAACTTCGACAATATGGAATAATAATTCTTATAATGAAGAAAAAATAAATCAAGACATTTATACGTACAAAAAATAATAACCTCATTAAAATAAAATAAAATTATTTCGATATTTAAACGACTTTCAGAGAATACGAAATTCCACAGTACTGACTAATAATTCCAATTGAAGAG